ATTCTACTGTGTCCATTCTCTTGATAGGGACTCACATCATTAAATTGCAGTCATTCTTTTTCCAATAGTTGCATTTAAGGCTATAAATTTCCATAACTTTAGCTGCATCTCTACAAATTTTAATATCAAATATTTATTACCATTTAATTAAAGTATTTTAATTTCATTATGACTTTTTACCCAAACATCTTTAGACACACTTAATTTTAATAACTCCTCATTTCTTTATTTCTAACTAAACCCAACAAGTTCAGAAATATAGACTCATGGCGTTTTTAATTTTATTTTCTTTGTGACACAATTTTCATTTGGTTTTTATAAATATTTCATGTGGGCTTGAAAAATAATGCGTATTCTACATTTGTTGAACGGGTGGGGTGACTCCTTTAAATCAAGTTCATTAATCACAGCACTTAAATCTTCTAGCTGTGCTTGTGACTATTGCTTGGTGAGCCTCTTACACTTAATCTCTCATCGTGTTCCTTTTCCTACCTGGCTGATGTTTGCCATCATTTAGGACTCTTAACTCACAGCTCCTTTGGGTTGCGTTCTCCAGCCGGGGGGTTTTTGAGGGTCCCCAAGCCATCTGCTGAGCTTTGTGGTGTTTGCACTAATATTTTCACTGTATGTGACCACATGTGGATATTTTTTTGCTTGCTGTTATTCATATTTGGCCCTCTTTTAACCTGTGTTTTTTGTGTCTTTTATCAATTCTGGAAAATTCTCAACCTTTTGTTTCTTCATATATTGCCTCTGTCCTTCCCTTTTCATTATGGGGTTGCTAGATACTTGTCAAACTCTTTTTCAGTTATTTTTCACCTTATCCTGTGGTCTTGTATTTTCTAGGGATGTAGACAGCAACCAGACCATAAGGTCGAAGGTCTGTACAAGGAAGATACTAAGGAGCACTTCCCCTTCAGTATTTCCATCTGTGTAGGGGCAGAGCATCCGTACTTCCCAGAAATGCTTCCAGCTTACCCACAGTCAGCCCTCTCCAACACAGTATTCTGTGGATGTTCTAAATGTGTTTCTTTTTGTCCCAGATCTCTTATCTCCCTCTCCCCCAACTCTCAGCAATAAGGTTCACCCACTTACCAGGAAAAAAGCAACCCCCAACATCTACACGGTTGCTAACATTGGTGCTGATGATTCACCCCTTGCCTTTTTCAGAGAAAGAGGCACCCCTGGTCCCTGTCTGAGGTGAGCCCCACCCACTTTACTTGGGAATCCACCTCCCTCCACCCCCCATCAATCATCCCTTCCCTCTCCCACGCTTCCGATCATTCTCTCTTTACTGGCTCTTTCTCTGAAGGAGATAAACAGGCCCACATATGTCCACCTGAGCCCCACAAACTCCCCTCTGTGCACCATCCAATATTTTATTTTGAGGGAATAGCTTATGCCCACTTCCCAAGCCTCCCCACCCTTCCATTCCTCCGACCACTGCACTCCGCTGTCCAGCACCATGTCATCAAGGGGCACGGTCTAAAGCAGCCAGTTATCCTTATTCTCAGAGTCCAATAGCACATGTCCTCTGTCCCTCTTGTTCATCTTCGGCTGGCATTTATGATGTGGGTGGGTGGGGTGAGGCCCTCTTACCGAGTGGCTTCTTTTTCAGCGAAGGACTTGGCCAAGGCCATCTGCTGAAGGTGATGTGGGTGGGAGCGGGGTGAGGGGCAGGGAATCGAAGGAGAGTGGGGATGGGGTTAGGGGTGGTTACAGAGTGGCCACTGAGGAGAATAAATGGGATCTGTACGCGACAAGGAAAACAAATGGCGAGCAGCAGCAAAGGTCCATTAGCGACTGGAGCTTATTAATTGTTCATCGCACCAACCATCATTGCTCTGGGATGTGCCCGCCAAGCCGTGGTTGTTGGAAGATAAAGAGCAGGTGGTGGCATCGATCTAGGTGTGGATCTTTGCAGGCAGAGAGCCATGGACGGCTGATGGCGTGGGCAGTGAAGGAGGCGTGGAGACGGCAGGGGCGAGCACTGCGAGTGGGTGGTCATTTGCCCAGTGGGGTAGGGAAGGAAGGAGGAGAGGCTAAGATAGATGCTGGGGAATGGGATGCTGTGGGGTTGAAGCTTAAACCTGTGAGATCAAAGAACAGGAACAGGAGATTGGAAGGAGAGCACAAGAAAACCGGATGGAATAGAAAAACCAGGCAGGTCGTGGGATCCTGGGATTTAAAATTTAAGGGGTGGAGAAGTTTGGCGGGGTGGGTAATGGACTGTTAGTAGTTGAGGGAGATAAGTCGCATTAGTCAGAACTGTTCCAATTGTGAGCATCAAGAGCAGACCTCTACACGTTCGAGGAAAAGGAGAACAGTTCTGCTTATCCGTTGCTGTGTCGCTAGCCCCAAACTTGGTGATTGTAAACGATGGTTGTTTTAGTGTTTCTCATCATTTCATGGGTCGGGAGTCCAGGTAGGGTCCAGCTGGGTGAGTCTGCTGCCCCCCGTGACATCCATTGAAGTCACGTGGTAGTTTTCAGCTAGCAGCCGGGCTGGGCTGAAGGGTTCAGAATGCCTTCGCTCGCAGTGCTGGCATTTTGATGGGGGACAGCCACAAGGCTGGGCTCAGCTGGGACCATCTCCCTTTCTGTGTTGGCTCAGGGCCTCTCGTCCCTCCGAAGGCGGAAGTGGCCCGTCGCTCCTAAGGCTAGGCCTGGAATTGACCGAACATTACTTCCACCTCATTCCGTCAGTCAAAGCAAGTTGTAGACTAGCCAAGATTCAAGCGGGGAGGAAACAGACTCTCTCCATGGGAGGAGCGCCAAAAATCCGTAGCCATCTTTAATCTGCCACAAGAGCATAATGACCACATGTTAAGTTTAAGGCTTAAACAAGAGACATTTTCTCGTAGCTCTGGAGGCTGAAAGTTCCAGATCTGAATGTCGCAGGTTAGTGTCTCCTGCGCCCTCCCTTGGCTTGTAAATGGCCACCCCCTTGCTGCCTCTTTACAGGGTTATCCCCCTGTGCACACATGCCCCTGGTGTTCCTCCCCCCTTCTTAAAGGACACCAGTCGTGTTGCTTTAGGGCCCAGTTAACAGCCTCCATTGAACTTAATCACCCCTTAAAAGGCCTCCTCTCCAAGAACAGTTGACCCTTGAACGACACAGGTTTGAACTGTGTGAGTCCAGTTACAAGCAGCTTTTCAATTGATCCACACAGTTCAAACCCACATTGTTCAAGCATCAACTGTCACATGGAGCGGGGTCCATGCATATGACCTCATTTACCTTTAATTACCTCTTCAAAGGCCCTACCTCCAAGCTGTCACATTCAGAGGTACTGGGTGTTGGAACTTCAGCATATGAATATGAGGGGGAGGGACACAATTCAGCCCATCCCAGGGAGCACCCATATTTCAGGCATGATCGGGTCCAGGTGCACAGACGGTGTCCTCAAGGGTCGTTCCCTGTCTCCGGCTCTGCTGCCGCAGCGTTGACCTGGTCTCTGAGGCTGTCCCACCTCGTGGGCAGGGTGGCCCACAGCAGCCTGAGTTCACAGCCTCCTACCTTAGCGACGAGCCGAAAGAGGTCTTGTCTCTCCCCGGGGGTGTATCAATCCCAGAGGTAACTCTGATCGTCCCTGCTTGAGTCCCAGGCCCCTCCTGGACCCCTGGCCACGTGCAGGTGGGCAAGGTACTTTGATGAGCCTATCCTAAGTCTGCTTATCCTGCCTGGTCTGTTCCCATAGAAACCACAAGGAAAGCTCCTCCTCACAGTTCCTTCTCGCTCCTTGCACCTCCTGACTGACCCTGCGTGGCATGGCAGCCCCCTCTCCTGGGAACTGTGGGTAACAAACTGTCTTTTCAATGGTGTTTGTCTCCTGATCTGTTGGCTTCACCATAGCTGGGTACAAATAGAATCTCGGGTACGCTTTATTTTTTATTTTTTTATATTTGAGAGGGGAAGAGAGGGAGAAAGAGAGGAAGAGAAACATTGACATGTGGGAGAGAGATTGAACGGTTGCCTCTCACACCGCCCCAACCGGGGAATGTGGCCCGCAATTGGCGTGTGCCCTGACCGGGAATCGAACTGGCAATCTTTCTGTTTGCAGGCTTGTGTTCAGTCCACTGAGCCACACCCGCCAGGGCCCAGGTACATTTTAAACAGCTCTGGAAGAGCCTGACCAGGCAAAGCAGGGGACCCCTGGGCAGGCCTGCAGTTGCCAGGGCAATAGAGAAAGGGTCTGTAATCAACAGCACACCCACAGAACAAAATGCTACACAGCTGTGAAGAGGAGGAAGCTCTCCAGGCCCCGCTATGCACAAACATACCAGAAATGTTGAAAGAAGGTACCACAAAAGATTTTTCAAAAAATAAACAAATTTGATATTCATATCAAGACACGAGAAGACAGGGGAAGAAGTGGAGGAAAGGCACTGAAGGGCCTCCAGACTGGAGGCTGAGGCTCTGTCCCAGGAGCCACGCGGGGAAGGAAGACGGTGGGCGAGGGCGGGGCAGGGTCAGCTCTGGGACAGGAGGCCGGGAAAGAGGCTGAGAAGAGGGTCCAGGCCTAAAGGTAGGTACCTGTACCCCCATTTGATGACGGGAAGTAAGCGCTGGTCGCAGAACCTGCAAATGGAGGGGAACCCAGCCTCCTGCTCTCCAGCCCAGGGCTCTGGTGGCGGGAAGCAGAGGTGGGGAACTCATCACAGCGTTGAGCACAAGGTCCCTTTGTCTTAGACTGAAGATGCTCAAGTGGTGGACAAATCGTCAGATCCCCAAAGACGAAGAGGCCCTGATCCTGGAGAAACCAAAGCTGCCGGAAAAATCGGAAACATCCAAGGAGACTGAAGGTGAAACTTCACCAGTCCCCGTGGAAGGTAAGTCCCTGGGACTGTGGGAGCCCAGGGTGTCCGCCAGCCAGGCTGCTGCACTGCCCCGGCCACCGGGGGCGCTCTGGCTCAACAGAGGACTCCCAGGGCCCCCGACCCTCCATCCCAGAGCCCCAGGGCCGGAACCCAGAGGGTGTACGCTTGGGGCGAGCTCTCCAGCTCCTTCCAGTGCACGCCCCCGGCCCAGGGGCTGGGCCTCCACAGCCTCAGTCCGGATTTTCCAGCTGAGCTCCCCTCCCACAGCCCAGCCCCAGGCCACGCCCCTGCCCCGCGGAGGGGGCCGCTCGTCCAGGCAGCCACTGCTGTGCCAGGAAAGGACAGTAAAAACTAGGAAGGGAGCCTTATCAGTCTGCTCAGGCTGCAGTAAGAAGTGCCACAGACTGGGTGGCCTTCACAGCAGAGGGATGTTTTCTTCATGATTCTGGAAGCTAGAAGTCTGAGACCGAGGGGTCAGCAGGGCCGGTTCCTTCTGCTGCCTCTGCCCTTGGCTTGCAGATGGCGGCGTTCTCTCTGCATCCCCATAGGTCCTCGCTCTACGTATCTGTGTCCTAATCTCCTCTTCTTATAAGGAAATCGGGTCCGATTGGATTAGGACTCACCCTAATGACCTTATTTTACCTTAATTATCTCTTCAAAGGCCCTGTCTCTGAATATGGCCACATTCTGAGGTCCCTGGGTTCGGGCTTCCCCCTATGAATTTGGAGATGGAAGGGAACACAATTGAGCCCATAACAGAGGCTTCTGGGAGCTAGTTGGGTCCCACCATTTGTGGGAGACCCCAAGGGGGGAAGGGACTTGCCCAGGGCAGAGAAACATCAGTGTCTGGTTCTCCCTCAGTCTAAGGCGAGAAAGAAGACTCCAGGACAGATGGTGACCAACTTGTGGTCCGCAGACGTGTAGAGTCGCCCTCCAGTCCGACCTGCGCAGACCTGCAGAGCAGGACAGCGACGCCATCTCAGACTAAGAAGAGAGCCCACTGCTGGACCCTCTCCATTCACAGCGCAGACATCCCCCCAGGCCGCGGTGCGCCAGCCTCTGTCCCCCTCTTCTTGCTCCCTGCCCTCGGGGAGCACGTGGGAATATGGAGGGCTCAGGACTCGGAGCACCTGGAACCGGCGGTTGCTGTCGCAGAGGCCGCGCGGCCCTGTGAACCCAGAGTGACAGGGACCCTCCTGCAGCCGCAGGGGCACGGCAGACGGAATCCAGCCTCGGCATTCTACAGCGAGAGAGGCTGAGGCCCGTGGGAAGGGGCTGAAACTCTAAAACAAACAAACAAGCCTGCCTCGGGACATTGGGGATCCTGAAGGCCCATCCTCCACTCTCTGCTTTGCAAACGGGGACACTGAGGCTCACAACGCCTCAGGCCACACAGCAAGACTGTGCCCTACTCAGGACCTCTGAATCCTGGGTCCTTGGTCATCCTCTCCTGTCCTTGTAAGACGATCTAGTGCAGGGCTTATAAACTCGGAACTCCACAGGGCCAGGCGGGCAAGGAAATGAGTGCAGTAGGCCTGGTGGGTCCCGCTGCAGAGCAGGCACCCGCCAGACGGGGGCGCGCAGCCGCCGTGAGCTCTGCTCCCACTCCGCCCCCTCCTCCCGGCGCCCCCTCGCCCGGCCACCCACCTCCCAGCAGGAGTGGGTTTCTATTGCCAGATCTGAGTTTTGGGGTTTTGGGTGATGGTTTTTTTGAAAGAGAATCTGGAGATTCAGGTTTCAGTGTGAAATTTCTGTATTCAAACGTTAATAATTAAAACCATGTTTTTAAAAAAGCAATATGGATCTCAGAAAAGCCTCTCATTTGCAAATCTGATTAGAAGCACAGATATGGAAGGGACACCCTCTCTCTAAACGCACGTCCTGCCAAAAGGAGGTGTCTTTATTCAGAATGCAAACCTCTTGCCAAGAGCAAATGGATGGAATCCCCAGATCCTGGGCAGAGGCTTGGGTGTGGACGGGTAAGGAAGTTTCCCGGGTGGAGGAGGATGTTCCAGGTGCGTCGGTGCCCCCCTCTCCAAAAAATCAAAAAAACAAAAAAACAAACAAAAAAAAAAACACCCAACCCTGCCCTAGCAAAGCTTTCATTCTGGAATGGGGCGTGAAGGAGAGGCATGACTGAAAATGAGCAAGTGAACATAGGCAATAAGGGCATAACAAAGACTCTGGAGAAAACAAAACAGGTGCGATAAAGATACTGCCCTGGGAGTAAGGGTGACTTTGCAGAGCACAATCCACAAAGGCTTGTTGAAGGGGAGACCTGCAGGATAAGAAAGAAGCTTGCGCCCAGCCCGCCCGGCCCGCGCGGACAGCCTCGCAGAAGAGGGAACAGCCCCGGGGCTGGGATCGGGTGGGCCCGTTCAAGGAAGGGAAGGCCAGGCGGGGCAGCTGGAACTGAGCGTCTGAGGCAGGGCAGCGGTGTCTGGGCAGCCCGGGGTCAGGGGCCGCTGAGCGCAGGGGGCGCCAAGGTCGGGTCGCGGCTGGGAGACCAGGGCTTTGGCTGCCGTGGTCAGGGCGGCCATGCAGGGGCAGATTGTGGCAGCTCGGAGCGAGGTGGGGGGAGGGGTAGAGGAAAGAGTAGAGATCTGTTTAGGAGGCAGAGCCAGCTTCTCTTGCAGACAGATTGGGGGGGGGGGGGGGCGGAGGATGGATATGCTTTTTAGGCAAGACAGCGCCCATGGGGCGGCTTTAGAAGTCCCTGCCTCCAGCCGCCCCCGACATGGAGCAGGCTCAGAGGCTGTTGCCTTGCCTCAGAGGCCCACGTGAGGGACAGGGACAGGGACCCTTCGCCCGGCAGGGCCCGGAGGGAGGACTGTGCCTAGTAAATGGATGCGTCGTGGGGCCAGGGGGGAAGAAGGACGTCGGGGTGCGGGCAGGATCTCTGGAGGTGGTTCTGCCTTGCAGGGGAGCACGCCGAGGTTCTGGGAAGAGAAGTGACTTGTCCAAGGTCACACAGCCAAACCCGTGAAAGAATGGGGAAAAGGGCGTGTTTTGCACCCAAGCCTTGAACCACCATCTCCTCCGCACTCCCAGTCCCAGGATTGGGTCCCCCAGGCCCTCCCCAGTCCCTTGTCACCCTGGGGATGAGGGTCGGCATAAAGGGACGAAGAAAAATTCATCCCTAAAGTCAGCGTTATTGGTGAAAGCAGAGAAGCGGAACTATGTCCCACGAGAACAGGAGGCTGGGGGGCCTGGACCCCTGGACCTCGACCCCTGGGTCCGAGCGAGAGGCGGCCAGGGACCTCGACCCCTGGGTCCGAGGGAGGAAGGGCCTTGCGCCTGGACCCCAGGGTCCGAGGGAGGACGACATTGGGACTGAAGCAGGAGGGAGGTGGGCTTCAGGAGAAGTGTCCCCGGCCGGGGGTCGTTGCGGGGACCCAGGGGGGCGGACCCGCGACGCCGGGGGCGGGCGGGGGCAGGGCCGGGCCGCAGTAACAAAGGCCTCTCCCTCCCACAAGCAACCCCCCTCGGCCCCGCCTCCCCAGCCCCCCGCCTGTCCTGATTGGCCGGCCTTCCTGCCCGTCAGCGCCGCCCCCCTCCCTGGGTCTGCAGCAGCTCCGGCCGCCTCGTCGCGCCCCCCCCGGCCCCTTCCCCCCGCCCCCGCCGCCCCCCGGGCCGGTGCAGCCGCTGGCGGGGTCCCCCTCCCCCTCCCCCTCTCCCCCCAGGACCCGTGCGCCCCGGGACGGCCCCCCCTCCCCCCTCCCCCTTCGCGCCGCCGCCGCCGCCGCGATGCCCCCCCTGCGCCCGGGGCCCGGCTCCGGCTCCTCGCCGCCGCCGCCCTGGCCGGCCTGGCCGTCATCAGCCGAGGTACCGCAGCGCCGGGGGCGGGGGCTCGGCCGGGACGCCGGGGTCCCTGGCGGGGGGCTGGGGGCGGGAGGGGGGGCTGCCTCCGCGGACGGGGAAGGGGAGGCCCCCGGCCGAGAGGTCCGGGCCCGGGGGCGGGGGCTGCCTCCCCGGCCCGGCCCGGGGTCCTCGGGCGAGTGGGTGCGTGCCCGGGGCCGGTCCGCGCCCCCGGGGCCGAGCCTGGGCCTGGAGGTGGAGGGCTGCCTCTCCGGGTCGGCCGGGGAGAGGGTCGCGGACACCCGGCCCGGCCTGCGGGCGGGAGTGTGCGGCTCCGGACCAGGGAGGGGGCCCGACGCTGAAGGAAGGGTCCCCGGCCAGGACCTCTGAGCTGAGTTAGGGTGTAGGGGCAGGAGATGCCCCGTCGGGGGTCGCCTCTCTGCGTGGAGACGGTCCCTGAGGGGGTCTTGGCCTGAGGGCCGGGGTGGGTGTTTGTGCGGGCAAAAGTGGGGGGATGGCGCCTTCCCAGGGTCAGCGTAGGGAGGGGGGCAGGGGTGTCCGGAGACCTCAGTCCCAGGGCCAGGAAAAAAGGGGGGGGGGGCTGTCTGGTCTCCCAGCTAGAAAGAGGCTGAAATTCCCCTGCTGGGTCATGTAGGTTGGGTCAAAGTGTTGGTATTTGGGGGGTTGCAGTTATGTGGGAGAGTGGGGGTCTGGAAAGTTGGGGTGCTGAGCTGGGATTGGGGTGTGGGGACCTCTGGCTAAATGCCTGGGGTCCGGGGGGCGGGCCTGGAGGACGAGAGCCCTGCAGGTTGAAGAGAAAGGGAAGGGCTAAGACGGGGTCAAAGGGTGAACTGCCCTCCCAGTGGGGGAGGGGGCTGCGGGGTGGTCTGCGGAGCAGGGAGGGGAGAATGTAAAGTGGGGGCGGGGGGGCTCGGGGGGGGGGGGGGGTGCCCCGGGCAATCTCTGGACTGAGGATGTGTCGCTGGACCTTGGGTCTCCCAGCGGGGAGCTGCGGCACCAGTGGTCCAGGAGATGCCGCGCTCCGGAGGGGAGGGGGGAGCAGGGAGGCAGGAGGCCAGGCACAGCGTTAATTCAGTGCTGCTGGAGGATTCCCCCGGGCCCTGCCTCCAAACGAGGGTCACAGAGTCAGGGACACGCAGTCGGGGACAAGCTGGAGCCCCCAGCAGTCTGAGTAGGGCAGCTGTTCGCGGCCTCCCGCCCACGCACACCCGGTCAGGCCCGGCCTCAGAGAGGCCGTCCCTGAGTCCGACTAGGAGCGCGCCTGCCGCCGCCCACAGCCGCACCAGCGGGGCTTCCCGCACGCGGGCCAGCAGTCCGCCCGCGCCCGCGGCCCGGCGGCAGGCCCTCCCTGGTGCGCACGCCGCCTGGGCGCTCCTTCCCCCGACCTGTCTGTCTTACTCTCCGACTTTCTGACTACCAGCCTGGGTCTCTCTGTCTCTGTCACTTGTTTCTTTGTGTCTCTCTAGGCGTCTCAGCCATTTCCGGAGGCTCCCTGGCTCTGGGGTTCATTCCCTGCGTCTGTCTCAGGGTCTCTGTCTTTCCTTCCCCGCTCAACACAGTTTCACATCTGTCCCTCTCTGCCTCTGGAGACGCTTCCCTTTGTCACACCACGTGTCTCCCTCTGTCCCTTCGGGGCTTTCTTCACGAAAGCTTGGGTCCTCATTCACTTCTGGGAATTCATGACACCCTCTCATTTTTCTCCCTGTCCTTTCCTTGTCTCCAGGCTTCTCCCCTCACCTCCCCCTACACTCTCTCTCCTTTTACTCTCAAGATAACTCCCCATGTTCCACTTTTCAGGACCCCAGACACCCTGGGCTGGGAGCTTAGTGGAGCCAGGAGGTGGCCCATGATCTAGATCAAGTGCTTTCCCACCTCTGGGCCTCAGTTTCCCCATTCTGCAGCAGGAGAGAGGGGAGAGGGGCCTGGGGAGCTGAGACAGAAGCAGAAGGCAGAAAGTCAGCCGATAGCACCGTCCCGCCCCCGCCAACTGACAGCCGGGGCTCCCTGAGAAAAAGCTGCTGGGAGGTCCACAAAATTGCATCTTCTCCTCTCTTTTGTTTTCCCAATTGCGGGAGGAATTTGTGCAAGTTACCAATCCCATCCAGCACGGAGGTCCCGGCCCCACCCTCCCCAACCTGCTCTCCTGGCACAGCCTCTCACGGAGATGAAGTTGGACCCACAGAGGGCCACGTGGGTGAGGAGTTGGTTTGTGCGTTGATGCTTTTCCCAAGATAGAATCAAAATAAATCCATTTCTCTGCAGTTGGCTTCTTTCTGCCTCTCTGGCATCCATAGATACCATTCTATCTTTGATTTTTTTTTTTCATATTGGACAGTTCCTGAGCGCTCTGGCTGGTGGTGTGGCCATATTAGACAGAGAGGGCAGGGCGGACCCAGGCATTCGAACCAGGGTCCACCCATTTTGTCTGGGCTGTGGACTCGGCTCATCCGTTCCCTTAGCACATATCTACTGGGCACAGTGTCTGTTCCGGGCACGGGGATCTACCCATGCACAGCCAGATGACGTCACTGCCCTCACAGAGCTTAGGTCCCAGTGGGACAGAGTCAGCAAAAAACTGGCACAAAATCTGAAGACAAGCCAGCTAGTAAACAGGTGATTTCAGAGAGTGATGGGCAATGTAAAGAAAATTAGGGACAAGCTGGCCATGTGGGTTCAGGTGGCTGAGGGGACTGTCTCTGAGCAGCTGAGCGTGTGTGCAGTTCAGATGGAAAGAAGCAGAGAGGTCCGCCTTCAAAAGGCCCCAAGGGAACAGCAGAGGCCGAGCCCCCTCTGGGGGAACCAGCGCAAATTCCCAGGGCTCTGGGCGCGGGCTCTGGGCATCAGCAATGCAAAGACCCCTGGACTTCCAAAGTCAACAGTGAGAAAGAGGGATCTGGGGGCTCCTCTGTGACAGCCAGGCCAGGCTCTGTCTCTCAGCCCTTTCCTCTAGTCCCCCAGGCCAGCCACACTTCTGCTTCTCACACACACTCTGGGGCCTCGGGGTCCCCATCTGTGGGTTTCAGGACCATGGAACCCAAGCATCCCCCCACTGGAGGGTCCCAATTCTGCTTAAGTTCCTTCCAGGGGTTCCAGGAGATTCTTGACTCCCACTCAAGGTCACCCAGCTTCTTAGAAATCCCCCTCTCTCAAGAGAGGGGAACTCACCCCCTTGCAACCGTCATCCCTTGATTTACCAAACAGGCGTGAAGGCTGCTAGTTTGGGCTGGCAGGGACCCACGGGGTCCCTCCAGTCACCACTGACCCGGGACAGGCTGGCACCTGCCCCATAATTATCCCGCCGTGACGCTGTGGGCAGGCACTTAACTGGAGGCTCTGTAGTGGACTGTTACTTTGCCTCCTTTCATCCTCCGGCAATCTGGTGGAGACACGATGATTGTTCTTGTTTACAGTGGGGAAGGGAAATAACTTTTCCACCAAGCGGAGGGGCTGGGACTCTGTCCTGGAGACAGCAGGGAGACACAGGAGGGCCTGGGCAGTTCTGTGTGTTGGAAAGACCCCTCCCTGAGTCTCGGAAGGGAAATAACTTGTGCGACACAGAGGCAGAGCTGGGGTTTGAGTCAGGGGCTGAGCCCAGGAGCCCTGGCTCCCCCGGTCCATTCCTTTAGGCGCCGGCTTACGCTGGCGTCAGAACAGATGCTGATGGGGCATCTGAAGGATCGCCAACTCGGGGGTGGGTGCAGGGCGCAGAGCAACCTACAGCCCAGACACGCCCTGCTCTGCTGGAGCTCCACCCCTGGGAGGCTGACCTCGAACCAGGGATAGCAGTGGAGGCTTCCTAAAAAAGGTGTTGTTCTGAATAGCTAGCATTTATTGGACCCTTTCTGCATGCTAAGCACCGAGCTAAATATTTTGCTAGCATGTTCTCATGGAATCCCCCGCAAAAACCCTCAGAGGGAAGAATTACTATTTTTCTCCTTTTTATACGGGGGAGCTGAGATCCATGCTGGTGCAGGGTCGGGGTGGGGGAGAGTCACCCCGCCAGGAAATGACGTGGCGGATATTTCGTCTCCCAGCTCAAGCTCCTTGGGGCTTTTTCCAGTCTCTGGACACCATCTATTCCCTCTGTGAACACTTCCCTGCTCTGGACTAAACCCAGCTCTCGGGAACACAGCCAAGATTTGGGCCCTTGGGGAGTTCTGGGGCAGGTGGGGGCACTATCACAGCTGAGTCAATGTGTACCCACTAAAGAGAGTGAAAGCTGCCTGCCTTGAACAGCCAGGGAGGTCCTCCTGGAGGAGAGGGCATTTGAGTTTGGGTCTTGAAGAATGAGTAGGAGTTCAAGAGTTGGCGAAGCACGCGGAAGGCATCCATTTATATTCACTCATTCAAAAGATATTTCCCAAGGCCTTCCAGGGCCAAACCCTGGGCTGGAAGATGCTGGGGACACAGACCCGAATCAGACCCAGGCTCTGCTCTCAAGAAACTTGGGAGACCGCCCTCAGCCGGGCCCGGAGCTGGGCACACTGGAAACACAGAGGAGGTCCGCCCCCAGGCCCCGCCTTGGAGGAGCAGGTTGAGGAGGCAGCTGACCCTGATCTAAGGTGTCCTGGGCTTGTATACACCATCTCTCCCAGGAGAGGCCCCACCAGATGAGGGCCCTGAAGAAGAAGCGTTTGAGGGGAAACTATGAGACAGAGGGATGGCCAGAGCGGGGCCCCACATGAGGCCAGGTGGGAGAGTGATACCAGGGCTCCGGACACCAAGCGGAGGGGCTGGGACTCTGTCCTGGAGACAGCAGGGAGACACAGGAGGGCCTGGGCAGTTCTGTGTGTTGGAAAGACCCCTCCAGCAAGGGGTTTATCTGTATTTCTCTCTGCCGGGACATTTGGTGAGGGCCTTGGATGCTGCTGTGGGGTCCGCTCCTCACCCCACAGCCGTGGTTTGTGGGCCCAGCTCCTAGGGTGGCTCCTGGCTGGAATCAGGGGCTGAACCCAGAAACCCTGCGGGCCTTGACGCTTGTCCAGCACCTCGGACAGCTCCCCCTCACCCCGGGCGCGGTCCCCCTCTTTGAAGCTGGGGCAGAAGCTGTCATGGGTGGGAGGGGGTTTGTTTTGTCCCCCAGGAGGCATTTAGCAATGACTGGAGGCACTTTTTTTGGTCGTCACCACTGCGCGGTGGGAGGCGCCACTGGCACCTAGAGGGTCAAGGCCAGAGGCTGCCGCACACCGTACACCCTCCGAGGCACAGGACGGCTGGCCAAGCAGGATCCGCCCCCCACCCCACCCCGCCCCCCGGACGCCAGAGGCGCCAAGGTGGATAAGCTCCCGCCCAGGATCTGTGTGGCCTGGAGTCTGGCAGGTCCTGTGGGGCGCCCTTGTGTGATCTGATTGTAGTGACAATGTGACTGCGTGTCTGATTCTTGGCCCACAGCAGCCCCTTTGCGTTGCAGAGGCTGTGACGATGGAGCTGTGTCATTGCACAGGCTGTGGCTTCCTACCCGGAATCCTGGAGTGGGGGTGGGAAGGAGCCTGGCCCTCTGGCTGGAGGGGTGCGCGCGCGTGCGGGGAGGTGGCCCCTGGATAGGGCTGGGACCGCCCGTAGACTTTGCACTTGCGTGTAGGAGGCTGTTGGTGTGTGTAGCTGTGCTATACGTGGGGGGGGGGGGGGCCTCAGTGTGTAATGCTGCTCGGCCTGGGGCTCTCCCTCTGCCGAGTGCTTCTGAGGGAGACTTGACCTGCTGGGTGGGTGTCCCGGGCTGTGTGGTCACCCTGAGTGTGTGTGGGCCTGTCCCTCCAAGCAGGGCCCCTTGTCATCCATGTCACTGAGCGCGGGACTGTTCCTGGCCTGGCACTGGCTCTGTGTGTCCTTTCTGGGCCCTGGTGGCTGCATGTGTGTCCGTGTGTGTGTGTGTGTGTGTGTGTCCATCCTCTATCTGTCCCCTGCTGCTACCAGGGCGGTGTGTGTCCCCGTTCACTCTGCACAGCTGGGGACGACCCACTCCCTCCCTGTGTCCACAAGTGACTGGGTGAGGCCGGGCCGAGGGGCTGCCCACTGCACTGGCTCTGCCCCAGGCCTGTCCTGAGGGGCTGCTGATGGAGAGGGCCTTTGGGAGCCATTGGGGCAGCACGGGCAATTAATTCATCAGATTAATTAGCTCCTCAACCGGGGCAGGGCAGGGCCCTCCCTCCCCAGGCGTCCAAGGTCATCCGGCCTCCTCCTCTCCCCAGCCTGGTGCATCTCCATCCGGCCGCCTCGACTTGCTCAGCCCCCCACTCCCTGGCTCCGGTCCAGCCCGCTGGCCACAGTCCACAGAGAGATGAATGGGTGGGGGTGGGGGCCCTGCCAGGCAGTGGGGCCTTCGAGCTGCGCTGGAGTGTGCGGGCAGGCATGGGCCTGTGCCCGCAAGAGCGTGCCCGGGTGAGCACGGGCACACGGGCGTGTCTGTGTGGACACGTATGTCTGCAAGGGTCTGTGTGTGGCTGTGCACTGTGCCTAAGGGCGTGTTTGTTGTAGACGTGTGTCTGGTGGATAGATGCATACAGGTGTGTGTGCACGCCTGCATCTGCATGTCTGTGTGTGTGCGTACAGGCATGGGCGTTGAGTGCATGCAACCAGCTCCGTGTGTGTGTCTTCCCACGTATTCCTGACTTCGTGTGTGCACGTGTGTGTCTGCACACGTATACGTTTCTGTGTATATGTGTGTGTCTGTGTGCTCATGCATCTGAATATGTGTGTGTGTTCATGTCCATCTGTGTGTGTGCACCCCTGTTTGTTGTGTGTGTATCTGTTTATGTATCTGCATTCTTGAATCTGTGTGTGTCTTCACTGTGAAGACTGTGTGCATACGTATATATGCATGTGTGCATACATGTACACATGTGTCTGTGCATGTGCGCATGCATGCATCTCTATACAGTATCTGAACATGTGTATGTGTGTGGCTGTATGTGTCAGTGTGCATGTGTCTTTCACACCCATGTGTTTGTGTGCTGTAGTTGGGGTGTGGGCTCAGTGCCTCTGCAGGTGTGTAGGTTTGTGTGTCCCCGTCCATCTGAGTCAGTGTGGGCCTGTGGGGGGACACGTACGTGTTGTGCGTATCTCCTCTGAGTGTATTTGCCACGTGTGTTTCTGGAAGCACCAGTGAACACCTGAGTGGGTGGGCGAGCGTCTGTGTCCGCGAGGACGTGTGTGTGTGTGCACGCGTGCACCCGAGCAGCCCCCGCGGTGCTGAGCTGGCCCTCCCGTCCGCAGGGCTGCTGTCCCAGAGCCTGGAGTTCAGCTCTCCGGCCGACAACTACACGGTGTGCGAAGGCGACAATGCCACCCTCAGGTATGGGGACTCAGAAGATCTCCCTGGGACTGCACTCCTGCCCCCACCCCGCCCTCCCTAGGGAGAACAACCCCGACCTGGGGTGCGGCCCAGCGCCTCCCTGTCAGGAGAGGCCCCTGGGGGCACGGACTCCGGGCTTCGGTGTCCCTGTTTGTCAAGTGGGCAAAGGATCGGTACCACTGTGTTAGCTGTTGTGGGGATTCAGGGGTCGGTGCACAAGGCTGAGAAAGCACAGCTGCAGCACACTGGCTGCTTATAGACGAGGGCCAGGGTTATCGTTTCCCCAGACCTCTGCCTCTGCCCACTCTGGGTCCCTGTCCCCCCTCTCTCTGGGTCTGTGTCCCTCATCTTCATGCATCTCTGTCCCTCTCTCCCAGAGGGACTGTCTTCCTCTTTTCGGATCCCTGGCACACAGCCATCCCTCCATAACCATCAGCTACCATTCCATGGGTACTTGACCCCACAACCTTCCCTCTCGGGGGCTCCGTTTACCCATCTGTAAAGTGGTACCGTCACCTATCAGGGCTGCAGGGGGACCTGGAGATGTAGTGGCCCTCCCCCCTTCCCCAAGCCCCTGCGATGGGAGAGCCTGGACAGTCAGGCTGGGCTGAAGGAGAGAAGCGACCTCCCCCTCTTGTCCTCCCGGCAGCTGCTTCATCGACGAGCACGTGACCCGCGTGGCCTGGCTGAACCGCTCCAACATCTTGTACGCGGGCAATGACCGCTGGACCAGCGACCCGCGGGTGCGGCTGCTCATCAACACGCCTGAGGAGTTCTCCATCCTCATCACCCAGGTGGGGCTGGGCGACGAGGGCCTCTACACCTGCTCCTTCCAGACCCCCCACCAGCCGTACACCACTCAGGTCTACCTCATCGTGCACGGTGAGCCCCAGGCCAGAGGGGCAGTGATGGGGGGAGCTGCTGAGAGAGGGGGTGGGGGAGGGACATGATCCTGGGCACACCTGCATGGAAGGCAGACACTGCCCAGCCCTTGCTGATTTCAGCCAAGAAGAGGAAAGGGCAGTCACAAAAACAGTGACTCTTCAGTGCGATAGCTTCAAAGGCAGGAGAGCTACAGGGTAAGAGGAAGGTGTGTTCACAGGAAGACCACACTCACTGGCTCAACGCCGTTTATTGAGCACCTACTATGTGCCGGCATTGCTCCAGGCACTGGGGATAGAGAAGAAGCTGATCAGGCTGTTCCTACTCCTTTGGAGGTGACTTTCCAAGGAGAGGCAGCTTCCCAGATGTAATGTCTGAGCCGAGACCTTCAGCCGGGTGCAGAGCTGGTAGCGGAGAAGGACCGGCATGTGCAGGGGCCCAGGGAGGAAATGAGTCGGGTGTGCGGACCCGAGTCCTGCATGGTGGGGTGCGTCAGAGTTCGAGGCGGGAGAGAGAGGGCTGGAGAAATCCACAGAGGGGGCAGGAGGAAGAGAGAGGGATGAGGCTGCCTCACGTGGCATCAGAAATGGGCTGGAGGAAGGGAGCACTTGGAGAGATGGGAACCCAGACACAGGGACAGCCCAGTGGGGGCAGGACAAGCCCGGCTTAGGAGCCAGACGGCCTGGGTTCCAACCGCGACACCACCACCTGCTGAGGGATCCTGAGCAGGTGAGGCAGGCTCAGGCTCCTCACATGCGTCGGATCTAAGACATCTTCAATCGGGAAGGACCCCTTTATTGTATGCTCTGCCGGAAAAGAAAAAGAACCTGCCAATCGAACTCTGGCATCCGGATTAGAGACGCGATCATGTGGGGTAAAAAAAAAACAAAACGCCCACATGTGTTAGAATCGATGGACATAGTTACATCTACCCCAGAGACTGGCAGTGAGGGTTTAATTAGTTAATTTTTGTAAAACACTGAGAACAGGGTTTACCACACAGCAAGCGCCATGTGAGTATTTGTTAAATGAGTTAATTTTAAAATAATAACCAATAAATAAAAATAGAGATGAGGAGAGAGAAATTCAGAACAGAAGACAGAAATGCCAAGTTAGGATGAAGGCAGAGAGGGAGACGGAGAAAGAGTGAGGAAGACAGAAGTTAGACAAGAAGCCAGAGCCAGAGGCAAGGGAGAAACAGAGAAATCTTACAGAAAGACAGGGAATGTCAGCTGGACATCCAGGTCCGAGGGAGGAGGCGCTGGGGGCTGGGACCCCTGGGTCCCGGGAGCCGATAGCCAGCCTCCCCCTGACCTCCCGCCTCCCCCGCAGTCCCCGCCCGCATTGTGAACATCTCTTCGCCTGTGACAGTGAATGAGGGCGGCAATGTGAACCTGCTCTGCCTGGCTGTGGGGCGGCCGGAGCCCACGGTCACCTGGAGGCAGCTCCGAGGTGAGAACCTCACCCCGGCCCAAGCCCGTTCTCCTCCTCCACAGTTTGGGCCCCTCGTTTCCCCACATCCCTCGCTAGGTTCCCAGAGCCCCTCTTTCCCCCATTCCTGATCCCCCCGGCCCCAGTAATAACTCGATTCCCCCCTCCCACCCCAATCCCATTATTTCCCTCGCACACCTGTGATCCTTAGGGCCGTCACCACTTGGCATCCCAGGCCTGGGCCACTTCCTCCAAATCACCCATTAGACCCCAGACGTGCCCCCGCCCCCCCGCCACCCTGTCCCTACCCCCAATAGCCACAGGCTCTTTCCCGCCAGCCACAGGATTCTCCAGGACTCAGGTCCATGGCCTGAGCCAGGTTACAGCCAGTGGCCCCGTCCCCATTCCCACTTCCTGGTCACATCACTACACATCTGCTGGGTGCTCCAGCCCCGCAGTCCTGCAAGTGTGGTCCCATCGGCATCCCCTGGGAACTCGCCAGACAAGCACGTTCCTGGCCCACCTGGACCGGATGAGCAGAAATTGCCCTTGCCTGCCCACCATCACCACCACATTTTAACAAGCCTTTCGGGTGATTCTGATGGTCCAGCTGCGAATGACTGCTCTCAGAGTGCCCTAAACGTGGTGCCAAGGTGCCCAAACGTGACTTCCGGGGGTCTCCACACGTCCCACCGCCCCTTTACCTGGATCTTCACCACCCCTTCCCAGATCCCTAGGTCCTCATTCACTGCGTCCTTGGAGGCCGATGGACGATCGCTGAATTCCCGACTCCAGAACCCAATCACTGGGTCTCAGATCCCTGATCCTCCCCTGCTGGGCCATCTGTACCCCACAATCCTGGTCTGAGATCCTGGCTTCCCAGATGCCCTATGTCCCAAACGGTCTTCTGAGCCCAAATCCGTCATAGACCCTACCTGTCCAGATTATTGATCCCAATCACCAGATCCAGATACTCTGACCCCTAAGAGCTAGACCCCAGAACTCAGGGCCTTCCCCCCTTGGGTCTGTATTTCCTGGATCTTTCTGAGCCCCAAGATCCTGGGATCCCCCCCCACGGGGTCCTCTGAGGCCCGTGATCTGAGTCAGGTACTCCCAGATGCCTTGATCCCCTGCACCCCCAAGTTCTAGGACCCTCCCCACTGGGTTCTAGTTGCGAGGCCCAGATCCTCGCTCCCAGCCCCTCCCCGCAAGTCCCTCCTGCCTCCCACTGGCCCCGGGCACTCCAGGCCCTGCCGTGCCCACCCCGCTGATGTGTGTCCGTGTTGTGCCCGTGTTGTCCCGTGTTAAGTGTTTGTGTCCGGCCCCGCCCCCTCCCCTCCCCCACCTCCGCAGACGGCTTCACCTCTGAGGGCGAGATCCTAGAGATTTCCGACATCCAGCGGGGCCAGGCTGGAGAATATGAATGCGTGACTCACAACGGGGTCAACTCAGCACCGGACAGCCGCCGCGTGCTGGTCACAGTCAACTGTGAGCCCCCCCGCAGTGGGCACGAAAGGGGGGCGGGTCCTGGGTCCCTGGGTAAAAAGGGTGTGCGGGAGGAGAGGGCGGCGGACCTGGGCGCCTGGGAAGGAGGGAGGAGGGGCCTGCGAGCGGGAACGTTTAGATCCCCCTGGCTGGGAGGTTTCCCTGACGCTCGCCATCACCAGATCCGCCGACCATCACGGACGTGACCAGCGCTCGCACGGCCCTGGGCCGGGCCGCCCTCCTGCGCTGCGAAGCCATGGCGGTGCCCCCAGCGGACTTCCAGTGGTACAAGGACGACAGGCTGTGAGGACAGCGCCGGCGGGCCGTGGGAGGAGGGGGTCCTTGCTACCTTGGACCGCAGGCGGGCGTGGGAGGGGTGCGCGCGTGGATGGTGGCGCAGGCCTAGGTCCGGAGAACGGGATAGGGGGGTGGGGGTGGGGGTTCCAGCTTTCAGGTGATGGGGTCCGCGGGGCCCCAGAGCGAGACTGTGGGGACTTACTGGTAGCCTAGGCCCCACCATGATGAATGTGGAGCTGGATCTCCTCGACCTCTTCAGGGAGGTCAGGGGGTCGATGCTGAGCATCTGGCGGGGAAGCTTCAGGAGACCATTGGGGCTGGAGTCCAGCGGGGTCTGGGAGACCCTAGAGACTGGGGACACACCCCGAGAGAGTCCAGTGTCCCTGAGGAGCCGGGGTGTCTGGGCAGGGGTGTCAGAGGGGGTGTCCCAGGATCCGTGGGGAGCTAGACTCCGAGGCTTGGGGTGTGTGTAATGGGAGGGGGTCTGTGGGGAACTGGGGAGCCGGGGAGTCGATGGCCTGGGCTCTGCGCCCGGAGGGGTCACGCCCGGTCCTTGACCCGGATCCCCGGCAGGCTGAGCAGCGGCACGGCCGAGGGCCTGAAGGTGCAGACGGAGCGCACCCGCTCGATGCTACTCTTTGCCAACGTGAGCGCCCGGCATTATGGCAACTACACGTGTCGCGCAGCCAACCGGCTCGGAGCGTCCAGCGCCTCCATGCGGCTCCTGCGTGCGTCTGAGCGCGGGTCGGAGGGAGGGGCGGGGCCTGGGCGGTTTGGACTGGACGGCGGGGGTGGGCGGGGCCTAATGGGCGGAGACGCCGGGACCTCCCCCAGGCTCGCCCAGAACTTAGGAAAGGGAGGACGCTGGGACTCGAGCAACAGGACTGAGCAAAAAGCCTCGCCTTCGGTGATTATCGACTCACTGAGTGGCCACTGAGAGCAGTGCACGAGAGAGAGGTCTAGGGGCTCGCAGAACTTACGGTCTAGTATTAGCAGAAAAGCAAATAGACGTATAAATAGAAAAGCAAATACATAGACACATAAACAAGCAAAATATAATAGGATTAGGGATAGGTAAGCTCATCAGAGAAAGCTTCCTGAGCGGGGGCGGGGGGAGGCGGGGGGGGGGGGGCGATAGCATTTGAACTGAGACCTGAGTGGTAAGAAGCAGCCAGCCCTGCCCAGGTTTGCGGGGAGAGAGCTCTGCAGGCGGCGGGAACAGCCAATGCAAAGGCACGGCGGGAGGCCGGCGTGACCTGAGCAGAGTGACCACGGGACCTGAGGTCGTAGAGGAAGGGAGAGCCGGAATCTCCTGGTCCATGGGAACGGTTTTGGATCTTATTCTACTGCAGGGAGAGGCCACTGGAAGCTGTTAAGTGGGGGAGAGACATGTTGATGCTTCTCAAAAGACCCTCTCTGGCTGCTATTTGAGAGATGAGCTGGGACGGGAGGTGGGGGAGCGGTTCGCAAAGTGGAGGCAAGAACAACAGAGAGGAGGCTTGGGGCGGTGGGGTAGGGGCAGCACTAAGTGTCTCTAGCAGGGAGATGTTTTGGAGGTGGAGGGAAGTGGAGACCAGGTGATTCCAAAGTTGCCCAGAGCAGCAGGGTGGATCCGGGCGACGAAGTAGTGGGGGTGGGGCAGGGAAGTAGCCAGTCTGGGAGACGAAAGTCAAGAGAACAGCTTAGGACGCGCTGACTAGAAGCTGCTCGGTGGCCCTGCTGGGTGAACGGAAACTGCATGACAGAAAGACACGGAGAGCCCCAGGCTGATGAAGAAGGGGCGGAGGCTTGACAAGAACAAAGAAATAAGAGTCAAGTGCCCCACGAGGTGCTGAGACTCAAAACAAGAGCAGGCACACGGAGGGAAAGAGTCAGAACGGCCCCTGAAGAAGTAGCCCCGCGTGAGACCCTCAGGGACCAGTGTCGAGACAAGCACCTGGGAGAGACCCACAGGTCTCCTCCTCCCGGGCCTGGTCCGTGACCCTCTCTCTTTTCTCAGGCCCAGGATCCCTGGAGAACTCAGCCCCGAGGCCCCCGGGGCCCCTGACCCTCCTCTCTGCCCTGGGCTGGCTGTGGTGGAGGATGTAGGAAGAACCCAGTGCAGCTCGCCTCCCCCGCGGGGGCCTGAGGCCGAGAGCGAGAGCAAAACGGGGAGAAAGCGGCGTGGGTCTCCAAGGGGCGGAAGAGCTCTCGGCCACCGAGGAAGAAGAGAAGGAAGAGGAGGAAGCAAGATCTTTAGAGAACCCATCACTGTGAGGGATAACGCAAAATTATGCATCTTTCTACAGCCATTCTCGCCACTGTTCACGTTTCCGATTGTGACCCACCCCCGCTACCCCCACCCCTCTCTTAGCTCAGGCTGTCAACTGGATCGCACGTGTGTAGTGGGTGTATGTGTGTGAGAGAGCCTGCCTGCATGTGTGTGTATGTGTGGGGGGGTCAGGGAAGGGGGCTCGAAATCTTCCCTCGCCGGCACTCCCCCATCCACTACCCCAACCCTGCTGCCTCTCTCCTGGGGCTGGAGGTAGGTGTGGGGGCTTCGTGGTAGGAACTACGAGGGGAGGTTTCCCAAGGCCCCTGCTTTCCCGATATATGCACGCAGCCCACTGCCGCCTCCTGTCCCTGCTGAAAAGGTGTTTCCTGGGCAGGTTGGGAGTGGGGGGGGGGGGGTTGCACTCACCTGTCAAGCTGTCATTCAGCCTTCGTGAGTCCGTGGGGGGTCGCCACCTGCGCTCCGGGTGCCCCTGCTGTCAACCACCAACTGCCTGGAGCCAGAGGCCTCATCACTGGCTCCGCAGCCTGAGACCTTCCCACTTTTCCTGTCCCCTCCCCTCCCCTGGACTTTCTGGCCCCCTCCGGGGCCAATCGGTGCTTCCATCCAACTGTCAGACTGGTGTCTATCGTCACCTGTCTGTCTCAGTGCTTTGCCCTGCCCAAGCCCCACTCCCTTTGGCCGCCTGCGGCGCCAGTCAGCTGCTCTCAGCGTCCCTGCAGCTGGCCCACACCCGTGGGTTTGCTGGTCTACTACCCCCCCCCAGCCCTGCCTCTCCACCAGTTGTACCTCCCGAAGGCTGACCTGACCGCCCTCACACACACACACACATACACACACACACACCAGCGACTGACCAGCAATAGCCCCCTGGCTCCAGCCGACCAGCTGTGGTTCCCCTGGGGGGGGGGGGGGGGGGGGGCAACTGTTAACTGTTGTCAGGAGGGGGGCGCAGAGAGGCTGTAGCCTCTCTCTGATTGTAGGAATACCCCAGCCTGGCACACATCACACGGAGTAGGGGAGAGAGGCCTCACACAGACATCCCGAGCCCAGACCAAGATGCCAAGTCACCAGCTCCAACTCCCGGGAGACCCTCTAAAAACACCCCAAACCACACCACCCAGTGCTTGTAGGGGGAAGAGGGCAGAGCAGGGGCACGGGGCAGTGACTGTACCTCAGACAGGGGCGTGGGCCCCATCCCACATTGTCTTCCATTCCCAGGGTCCTGGGGGATGGGGAGGGGAGGGGGAGGGAGACAGGGGAGGGGGGTTGGGAGACCCTGGGGGCCGTGTGTTCCAATCCATGGGGAGTGTTGAGACCACCACACCAATAAACGCCTTTTTCCAAAGTCTCCGCCTGCAGATGTCAATGTCATTAAGGATTTGGGCGCGCAGAGGGTAAAGGTCATGGTTGGTGGCGGTGCCTCCCCAGCCTCATTCCGACAGTCTCCTTTCCCTTTCCCTTTGGTAGACTTGGAATTGACCTGGTACAGAGGTGGCCCCTAATTGGCTCAAGCCACTGGACGGAAGCCTTTCCCCCACTGACTGGTCCAGAACTAAAGAGAGAGAATGCCAGGCAGTGTGGATTCATGAGGAGAAATGGTCTTGCAAGATAACATGATTCAGTGATGCGAGGTCTAGACCTGCGTGGTGGTTCTTCCCTGTCACGTGGAGACCTCTTTTCGCCTGTGGGGACAGCAGTGGTGGGGAAGACAGGATGTGGAGCCTAAGAATGATGAAAACACTGTAGAGCATAGAGCAGAAGGTCTAGGGAAACAGCCTGTGATGGTGTCTTTTGAGCTACAGGATCAAAACTTACCTGATGCCCACCTCCACTTACACAGGCGAAGTCCCCCAGTGTTTAAGCCAATTAATGTTAAGTTTTATGTCTCTGGTGATCAAAATGGAGATGAAAACTCTGATATAAAGTAGATATAGAGGGGTCAGGTACCCAGGACTCCCGCCCCCAAGCCTTCAAAATGATGCAAAAGCTGTATTTCCCAAAGGCCTCTTTCTTCCCAATTTTTAACCAGAATACCTCACATCCTTTCCTTCCCTGAGACAGATGCTGGTTGTCTTTGCTTTAGTTACTTGTTTCCTCTTTCTTTGCTGTCAGACCCACCACCCGTGATATAGCCTGAGAGGTTTGGTTTCCCAGGCTCCCTTGCAGTGAGTGACATAACCAGTTTGGGGCCAAGAAGACAAGGGAAATTTTCTGGTACGCTTCCAAAAAAGGTTTTTCTCCACTGATGAGGTTGGTCAAAGAGAGGTGAGTGAGAAGAGAACCCTGCTGTCTTGTTTTTGTCTTCAGATACAGTTGTGTGAAGACGTGATATCTGGAGCTGCAGCAGCCATCTTGCTACAAGAGGCAACACGCCAGCCCGCTGAGGGTGGCAGAGCAAAAGAATGCAATAAGTCCAGATCTTTGAGGGGATCACTACGTTGCAGCACCAGCCTGAAACCACCCACCTCTGTGTTTCTTTCCACCATTTATTTTGTTAGTTTGCAGCCAATTAACAAATCTTCAGGATGCAGCCCCTAAATTTCCCCTAAGAACCCCTGCTGAAAAAACAAAAAAAAAAAAAAAGACACCATTCTGGGAAGAGCAGGGGCAAACCCAGCCCTTCATTGGCACCAAAACATTTCATCAGTTAACCTATATTTGTTGATTTGTGCTGTGTGCTAGGCTTTGTGTTAAGCTCTGGGGATAACGACACAGTCTCTGCCTTCAGAAAACTCTCAGTTTAGACAAAGAGTCAGCGGCTAAACAAGTAACTGTGTATTTATGGATGTGAAGCAGAAGGTTCAGGGTCTCTAGGACCTAACCCCTGATGAATGCAGGGGTTAATGAAGCATCTTCTTTTGTTTTTATTATTTTATTTATTTTTAGAGAGAGGGGAAGGGAGAAAAAGAGGGAGAGAAACACCGATATGCAAAAGAAACATCACCAATAGGCTGCCTCTTGCACACCCTGAGCTGGGGACCTGGCCTGCAACCCAGGCGTGTGCCCTGATGGGGACTCGAACCAGCGACCTTCCTGTTTGCAGGCCGGTGCTCAATCCACTGTGTCACAGCAGCCAGGGTTAGAGAAGCATCTCCCAGGATGGTAATGGTCAACTTTACACTTGAGAAAGGAACAACACGGCAGAGAGTCCTGCTCCAGACAGAGCAAACTCTGGGGGCAAAGGCCTGGAGGCCAAACGAAGTGGCAGCAGGAGTGCCTGTGCGGCTGGAGTGGTGAGGATCGGGGCGGGGGTGGCGGGGCGGGGTCACAGAGGCGGATGGAGGCCGATCCACAAGGCTTTGAAGGTCACGATGAGGAATTTGGACAATATCTGAAGTCAATGGGCAGCCACAGAAGGGCTTACGAGAAGAGGGATGTGTGCTCTGATCTGTTTTAAAATGGAGACTCTGGGAGCTGGGTGGGTATGGCCCGGAGGAGGCAAGAGTGGACATAGGAAGACTCTTCCAGAGATGAGGCAGGTCCCGGCTCTGGCTCAGAGCAGCCCAACAAGCCTGCCTGTTCGCGGCACAGTCCGCACATCTTGCCAGCTTGGTGGTTGGCAAACCACACTGTTAGGGCAGCAGGAGTCTCCCCAGCCCAGGAGTCCCACCTCCTCAGTTGCACAAATACAGGTAGAGTCTTTGGAGGTGAGAGAGGGAGACAGAAAGTCTCACTTTCTGAGTCTTCAGTCACAGTAAGACAGGGAGGCCTTGCCTGCTGCTGAGTAAAAACAGGAAGTCCTGAGCAAAAAGTCCTGCAGAGCGCACGCCACTCATTAGCCGTAGTCACACCTGTGTGGCTGCGCGAACAGTCTTCAGGCCCCCAGCTGGAGGGATGACGGGACTGGGGCCGGCGGCCTGGAAGAGAGCGGAGAGGTAGGGGACAACCGCAGGGGCTACACTGGATGCGACATGACTCACCCATTTCTATAGCACTGGCTCTCATTATTCAGAAATTAGCTGGGGTTCCTCCATTTGCAAGGAATAAAAAAATGTCTAGCCACCCTTGGTGAGAGAGAAGACGTGCAACCACCCAACTTTACCAGCGAAAAAAAATGTCATCCCACTTTGGAGAGGAAATGGAAGTTTTGCCCATTTGTATGGAAAAGACAAATAAAGGAGGTTCCATCTTAATCCTTTTGGGGGGAAAAACCCCAAGGGACATTCCTTTTGGAATGTCACTCTTCTTTTAAAATAGCTAAACGTTGGATGGGAAGCCCTGTCCAACTTTTGTGTGTTTTTTAAAAAGGACAAAATTTTACCAGGATTGTAAACCAACAAGTAAAGCTGGAGGAAGAGAACTCAGACCACCTCATCTCCCTGACTAACAAAAAAATTCCACCCTCTCTCGGGAGGTCACTGGGCCACGCACACTCACTTGGTGGTCCCTGGTTGGGCTGGGGTCCTCCAGGGGGACTTTAAGGGGCAGAGGCTGTGGAGTCTCGGGATCCACACTCTGCATCTTCTTTTCTGGTGGCGGGACCGCAGGGATGAAGGTGGGTAGCTGCTTCTTTTTCTTGAGAGTCTCTCCTGAGAAAGAGAAAGGAAGAAAAGAAACGTGATTGGCCGCTCCAACATGCCTACCCAGCCAATGGCAAAGGAAGCTGGGCTGAGAGGTGGGGCCTTTAATCTGATTGGCTGATATGGAGGGAGAAAGGTCCGGACATGTGACCTATAACTACGCTGATTGGTTCAGCCAGGCGTCCAATGGGGTTTTATCTAGGGACTCTTCCTGTTGGCGCCTCACTCACCCCGAAAACGACGCAGGCAGCAAACGCACAGGACGGTAAGTGCTACCAGGAGCGCCAGGCCCAGCAGGGAGCCCAGGACGATGCCGGCGATGGCCCCGGGGCCCAGGGTGGGGCCTGGAAGAGACCAAGAGGAGGAGGATAAGGGGAGTGAGAGCCAGAGTTGGACCAGTTTTCTAAGTCCCCTGTCCCAACTCTCTCAGAACCCAGGAATCTGGGACCCAGCGCTCTCAATTCATTCAACGTTTACTGAGTGACCATCACGTGCCCAGCATTCTACCAAGTGATGAAGGTCCATTCCTGAGCGAACCACGATACCTACTCTCGTGGGGATTAATTTTAGGAGGAATCAGAAAGGAACGGTGCCCATAAATAACATAAAGACAGATTGTAGTAAAAAGAAAAATGTGCTAACATAGAAATAATGGGAGGCGAGATGATATTTACAAAGGGTTGAGGAGGGCCAGTCCCTCAGGAAGTAACATCTGAGCAGAGACCCGGAGAGTACCGCGCCACGCACGCTAAACGGGGGGAAGGGCGTCCCAAGAAGAGGGAACAGAAGATGCAAAGGCTCAGAGGTACAATAAAGTTTTCTGTGTTTAGTGAAGGCCAGTGTGGGTAGGGGACATGGAATGAGGGGGGAAAGAGGTAGGCAATGATGTTAGAGGTGTTAGCAGGGGCCAGAGCCTAGGGAATCTTGAAGCACTTTATGAATCACAAGTGACGCGATGTGACTTCTATGACTCTGGCGTCTATGTGGCGAAGAATGAGTTGTAGGAGAGCAAGAGCGTACATAAGGAGACCAGACAGATGAATGGCTGTTGCAGCCCAGGCAAAGGATGTATCTGACCAGGAGGTTGGAATGGAGACAGAAAGAAACGGATAGATTACAAAAGCATTTTGGAAGGAATGTCGATGGGACCTGCTGGTACTTGGAATGTTCAAGGTGACTTTGAGCATGTGGGTGGTGCCGCGGGAAGCTGGGTGGGAGAAGGAGGGCGGGATGCAGCCTTGGCGAAGTGTCTTATGAAGAAGTGTATTTTGGACATGTGGAGTCTGAGGTGCCAATTGGGCATCCAAAGTGAAGGTGTCAGGCAGGGAGGTGGCTTTTCAAATGTGAAGTTCAGAAGAAAGGTCTGGGCTCCGGATCAGACAGTTGAGAGACATCTGAGTCATACTGGTATTCAAGGCACCGAGAGCGCACGGGGACACACAGAGGAGACGTACAGGTAAAGCAGTGGTCTGAGCACTGAGCGCCGAGAAGTCCAACACTTAGAAGTTGGGGAGCGTCCTCAGTTGAATTCTGTCTCCCCCAAGACAGACATATTGACATCCTAACCATCAGTACCTGTGAATGGGATTTTATTTGGAAATAGTCTTTGCAGGCTGTTTGCGGATCATTCTGAGTTGACCGCATCTGCTCTATTTCCAAATAAGACCACATTCACAGGCACTGGGGGTTAGAGTGTCTATATTTCTTTTGGAGGGAGACACAATTTACCCAATTAAGTCAAGACGAGATCATTGGGGTACATCCTAACCCAATAGGACTAGTGTCCTTACAAAAGGAAGACAGAGGCACACACAGGGAGGAAGGAGGAGTCTTTGGGAACATGGAGGCAGAGACTGGGTGGATACGGCTGCACACCAAGGGACACCAAGGATTGACAGGCACCGTCAGAAGCTGGAGGAGCAAGTAAGGCTGCGACCCAGAGACTCAGAGGGAGCACGACCCCACTAACATCTTGATTTTGGACCTCTAGCCTCCAGGGCTGTGTGAGAATACATTTCTGTGGTGTCAGGCCATCCACTGTCTGTGGTTATGGCAGCCCCAAGAAACTAACCCAGGGAGGAGGAGGAGGAGCCAGTGAAACAGACAGATCGAGGCAGCCCAGGAGAAGGGCAGGACAGCCCCAACTCACCAACACTGTAGATCCGGCTTTGGGATGGCCTCCCTGGCTGGCCCCCCAGGGTGGGCACGATACGCAAGGCCCAGGTCCCAGGGTTCTGGGGAGGGAGGGGCACCACGGCTGACCGCTCCTGAGGCCCCAGAATGAGCAAGGAGACCCAGCCCTGGTAGACGATGGCTCTGCTCAGGTCAGGCCCCTCCGCTCGTGCCTGGATCTCAAAACCACTCATCACGGCTCCGCGCTCCACATCCCAAGTCAGCACTGCTGCATCTTGGGCTCTCTGCAGCCTCCACGAGGAGATGGAGGGTCCTGGAGGGAACAAGGTGGGGGTAGGCTGGATTTGTGGGTCCTAGATGGGAAAGGGAAAGGGGCTGCAGGCCTGGACTCATAGTTCCCAGGGGAAAAGGATCTGAAGACCCAGACTTCTGAGCCTATGAAGAAAAGGGGCAGGGGTTCTGGCATCTTGGGTCTGAGGGAGGAGGGGCTGGGGGACCTGAACTTCTAGATTCTGGGAAAGGACAGAACTCACCAATGAGAGCGATCTGGTCACCCCCAGCACCCAGCGCCCCACTGCACAACACGGAGTAGTTTCCAAGGTCCCAGTCCAGGCTGAAGTTGCCAATGAGGAGCCGCCTCCCGTCTTGGCTGAGTCTCAGGCGCCCACCACTTCCGGGGACGAAGGGCCGCCCCTCCCTGGCCCAGGATGGTTGTGAAGGCGGCAGACAGCCAGAGACCTCCAGCACCACCTCTGCCTCCCCTGACCGTGTCTCCTCCACCACTGGATGCAGCAGCACCTTTCGAGGGGCCTCTGCAGGTGCAAGAAACCCAGTCAAGACATTGCCCTAAAGTCAAAGAACAAGTCCTGTGCCCTTTGGTGACGCAAGCAGCAGTGAAATCTCTGCACCTTAGTTAAATGAGGAAGCACCATCTATTCCCTCTCTCCCTCCCTCATTCATTCATCATCTAACTCCCTTAACCAGGACTTATTAAGTACCTACTATAGGCCAGGTCCTGGGCTGACCAGGTCATGTTGTTCTCAACGATTTATTGCTCTGAACACGTGTCTGTCCTCCTCCTGGGTCGAGGAAAGAACTTTTTGTCCCTGTCCCTGCTTCAGGTATAGGAAACACCTGGGTCCTTTTGTAGAGTTAACGACAAAGGAAACCCTTTTCTCTGGAGTTAAGAAGTGCTCCTTTCTCATGTCCGAAAGGAGCTAAGAAATGCCCTGTTCTTCTCAGGAAATGGGAAAAAAGTCCCACCGGCTCTCACCCGGCGTGACAGTGCAGGTGCGCGTGGTCACCAAGTGTCGAGCGAGGCAGGTGACTGGAACGCCGCTGAGCCGGGGGTGAGCAGGGACAACTGCCAGGAGCGAGGAAGACGTCGGCCCCGCGCGGACGCCCTCGGGGAGACCCTGGAACTGCAGGGAGGCGGCAGGGACCCCACCGGGCCAAGAGCAGCGGAAGCGAAGGCTGCGGTCCCCGGGACCCCCTTCGACTGAGCACTGTGGGGACCCGGGGGGCAGATCTGTGGGGCGCAGGGAGAGATCAGGGAGTCAGCCTCTCTTCCCTCTCCCAGTGCGTTCACTCCTCCGGGTCTTCACTAAGCTCCGCCCCCTAGGCGCTGGCCCCGCCCCCTCTCCCAGTATCCGCGCCCCATTTACAGGGAATCTCCGCCCTTTCTTGCCAGCCCCATCCCCTCCCGAGTATCGCAACCTCTGGCTGTTTCCTCCTCTTCTTCAGAACATTCCCTTCGCTTTTACCGGGAATCTGTTTCCGCTGTGGTCCTAACCCCTGCACTATGGCCACACCCCTTCTCAGTGACCCCACCCCCTTTCCCAGTATCCCAGTCCCTCTCTAGTTCCGTCCCTTCTCCTAAGAAACCTCGCCCCTCCGCGTTGGCCCCGCCCCCACCCCGGCGGAGGCCCTGTCCTGTTTAGGCCCCCAGACGCTCCTTCCCGCCCCGGCTGCGCTCACCAGCCACGGTGACGTTGAGCAGAGAGCGGCGGCGGCGGCCGGTGCGCGGGTTCGCGGCGAGGCAGGCGTAGGTACCGGCGTGGCCGGGCTCAACCGCGGGCAGCAGGAGGCGCGGGCCCGCGGGCACCGCAGCCTCGGAGGGGTCGGCCAAGCTCCACGCGATGTCTGCTGGAGGCCGCGAGGCGGCAGTGCAGCGCAGAGTCACGTTGCTGCCCGCGGTGACATAGAGGGCAGGGGTGGCGTCCCGGTCCGAGGAGATCGCGATGATCGGGGGTCCGGGCCGTCTGGGTCGAGGGAGGGGTCGGAACCACGAGTGTCGCGGTCACTCAGGACTCCTCCAGGGCCCCCAGAGACTAGACCGTCAGCACCCTCTTCCCCAGGGACTGAGGAACCTGGGCTCCCAGTTCCCTGCCCCCGACCGGAGTCATCCCCCCCGACTCACAGAAGACGCTGACGTCAGCCGCGGCTTCCGTGTGGCCGAAGGGGCTGCGGACTCGGCAAGTGTACCGGGCATGGTCGCTGCGCACGGGGCGCGCGATAAGCAGCTGGTCGCCCTCTGCGCGGATCCGAGGCAGCTCCGCTCCCTCCGGGTCCGCTGTCTCCAGGGAGCGTCCGTCCCGGCTCCAGCTTAGCTCCCCGCGACCGGGCCCCCAACCCAAGCAGCGCAGCCGGAGCTCAGTCGCCCCCTCCTCTGTCTCCGGGGCCTGGGGCTGCACGGACAGCTGGGGCAGCGGCTCTGGGAGAAGAAGAAAGTGCTCAGGCCCCGGGCCACCTTTTCCCTTTTCCCCACAGGACTGCAAGCCCCAGGCCCTCCACCTCCTACACACAGTGCTCCCAGTCCCAGGCGGGGCTTCCTCTCAGGCCCAGCCCTCTTCTCACAGACCCGTGAGTCTGAGTCTCCCGAGTCCCTGGAGAACTCAGAAGTTGGGGGCCCCTCGGGAGTCTTGATCCCCAGGCCCAGCTTCCCTCAGGTGCCCCGATCTTGGCCCCAGACCCTTTTCTCCTCCCTCCCAGAAGTCCTCTCTCTTCTGTCCCCTTCTTCAGGGGAGAAAACGCCCTCAGAACAGCAGTGACCTGCCCTAAGGTCTGGCAAAGCAGCACTTACAGCCTGTTTTCTGGACCTCAGCGCCCACTTACCATATACACCCACCGTGAACTCCCGAATCTGCCGAGAGACCCCAGCACGAATGACCTCAGCCGTGTAGACTCCAGCATCGTCCAGCTGGGCTGAGGCGACTTCCAGGCCCCCTCGGGCCTGGTCAAATCGTAGGCGATCTCGGTGAGCAGGGTCCAGGCTGATCAGAGGGGCCCCTGGCCCCAGGCCCCCCGCTGCCAGCACCTTGGAGCCCCGGCGCCAGACAACCAGAGGGGCAGGGGGGCCGGGGTTGGGGACCGGAACCAGGGGGAGTTGGATGGTGGTGCCCACGAGCACGGCAAGAGGGCCCCCCCACCTGGTGGGGGAAACTTAGCTCGAGGGGGGCCTCTGCAGGAACTTTGAATTCGGGGCGCTGGGGAGAGAATTTAAGATCCAGATTCTCTGGGGAAAATTTAAAACCTGGGCCCTCTGCGGACACATTCGCATCAGGGACTTGAGCAGAAATGTCTGAAGTTGGCTTCTGAACAGAAGAAGAAGGCTCCGAGTCTTTGGCCAGAACTTGAGACCCCGAGATATCAGGAAGTACTTGGGAACCAGAGATCCCAGAGACGGTGGGGTCCGCGTCCAACTTTTGGTCCTCAGCAGAAACATTTGACCAGAAGGACCCAGTTACACTGTCCAAATTCAGGTCCTCAAGACTCCATTTGGAATGGGGGATCTCAGCAGTGGCTCGTGAACCTGGAGGCTGATCCAGAAAGTTCTGCCTGGGGGGTTTGATGAAAGAAATATTCGAACCGGGGCCCTGGAAAGAGCTTTCTGAGTCAGAGATGAAATCAGTTGGCTGAACTCCAGAAGGGGCTCTGAGAGGGAGGACACCTGCTCCGGAGGCTGCAGAGGAGAAGAGGGGAGGGCGCTGAGGGGCTGCTGAGAAGGGGAACCGGTGGGAAAGGGGAGGTGGGAAAGGGGTTGAGCAGGAGACTTACCCAGGAGCAAGAAGAGCGGCAGAGCCTGTGAGGTGTCCATGGTGCTGGCCGCACCCCGGCGGAGGACACTGGAGTGAGACTCGGGGCAAGTCCAACAGGACTGGTAGCTTCCTGGGCGGGGGAAAGGAGCCAGACCCAATGGGAGGAACCAGGATCCCTCACCCCAATCTGGTGGCTGAGCCACCCACCCCACCCCGCCGGTCCTCAGCAGCTAGTCTCATCTGAGGGGAGTTCCAGCCTGACGCCTGTCTTCACACCCCCAGCGGGGAGGAAGTGACAGCTGAGTCCCAGCTGGAAGTGTGGGAGCGAAGCCAGGAAGACTCCCTGGAAGAGCATGAGGCAACCTTTCAGAGAGTCCCACCTTTGATGGCCATGGCCTCGGCTCAGGCGTCCTCCCCCCTCAGTGTCGTGGCTTCGGGTCCACTCTGTCCTGCCTGCAGCCTCAGACGGGGGTATACCCACATCTGGCCCTGTTCCCGCTCTGCTCCAGACCCTCCCATGATTTCCTGTTGCCCTCAGGACCAAGTCTCAAGTGGCTATCTCCCACCCAGCCATCTCTTCGAAGACCCAGAACTGCATCTTCAAGTCCCCTGGAGACTCCACGCCCTGCACCCCACTAAACTCAGCACCTTCCCTCTAACCAGACCCTCCTCCTGGATTCTTCATCTCCACCACAGTTCCACTTGTGCAGAGGCTGGGGAGCCTTCCTCCACCTCACCGCTTTGAACCTCTGCATCCCACCCTCCTGCCTCCTGCACTTGTTTCATTTCTTCTCCTCTCTGCCCACTGGCCAGGCCCCAGCATAAGCCCCGTCCTTTGCCCCTGCCTGCTCGCTCAGCCTTCTGTCCTCAGCCTCATCTCCTACAGCCTGTGGATCCCCACATGGCCCCTGAGTCTACACCCAGAGCTGCCTCTTCCCCTCCCCGCTCACAGCCCTCCCATGGCTCCACAGGGCCCTCAGGAGGCATCCAAGGAATTCCCAGGCCCTGTCTAGACCCACACACTCCACCCACTTCCTCCTCCCTCTAGCACGTACTCATTAAGCACCTGCCATTCTTAGGCCCATCTCACCCCTTCCAGATTTGCAGTTTCCTCTGCCTGGAATGCTCTCCCCTCACTCCCCGCCCTCCTCCAACCTGGCTGAACCACAACTTGTCCTTCAGGTCTCTTATTAAGAACCAAAATAATAATTACCACTTAGCACGCACCAGGAACTGTGAAAAAAAAAAATGTTTCGCAGACATTATGGGCTGAACCCTGCTGAACATCCCAAGAGCTGGGTGTTTATCATGCAGGGGGCGGTGGTTCAGAAAGGGACCTGCAGGAGGTTGCACAGCCAGAGGGAGAAGCTGGGTGGCTTCAGCCCAGGACGGTCAGGCTGCTCACTGTTCCTGAAAGCTTTTCCTACCACGTCATGCTGTCCTTAGCAGGTCCCAGTCCTCTAAGCTTACCCAGATAGTCTTGCCAGGCAGATGATGGTAGTGCTACCTAGTGAGCATTTTCTGCATGCCTAGTGGTTCTGAGGGTGCTACATTAACCCTTTAAACCCCAGGGGGTGGATGTTATAGTTTAAACATGGCTGCAAATTCAACCTTCCTCCCCTTAAGGAATAAGTTCTCTGTCCCTTCCCCTGGCATCTGTGTAGGCTCTCTGACCTCTAGACCAAGAGAGTACAGTGGAATTGACCGTGTGTGTCTATACCTAGGCCGCAAGAGACTGGCATATTCCACTTCCTATATCAAGGGACACTCCCACCATGCTGTGAGGAAGCTTAAGCAGCCCCGTGGAGAGGAGTCATGGCCCCTAGGTAACAGCCAGCTCAAGCCCACAGCCCCCTCCAGCTTGCAGGCATTTGACAGCCATCCTGGGTGTTGATCCTCTGGACCTATTTGAGCCATGGAAGAGAGGCGTGCTGTCTCTGCCAAGCTCAACTCTCCGATTTAGAAGCAATCAGAGTTGGGGTAAGCCACCAAGCAACAGACCACCAGATCACAGGTGTCGTTACTAACTGCCCCGGATGGAGGAGGAAACTCAGGCTTAGAGAGCAGGAAGCTATCAAAGGTCATCCTGGGGACAGGGATCGGCCAGGATCTGAACCAGGGCCTCGGGATCCCGACCCCAGGCCCATAACCACTAGGCTAAGCTCTCACTGTTTCGATAGGCCAAATGAAGAAACTGAAGCTCAGAGATGGGAAGTTATTTGCTCAAGACCTCACAGTTGATAAATCTGAGAGTGAGAGTTTGAAATCACTAAGCCCGAGTCCAGGCCCTGGCCCTTCATCCCGCACTAGGTTTTGATTGTCTCTTGCTTGTCTGTCTTCCCCGCCGGAATCAGAGCTTCCAGCCTCCTCCCCCTTTCACATCCCAAGTCTCAGCAGGGGCCTGGCACCCGGGAGTCCCCAGCAGACATTTTGCAGATGAAAGCCCTTCTCCACAATCCCCCACCACCACTTCACTGGTATTTGTCCAAGACAACTTATTTGCCACCGTACTGGAAATCTTCGACCCCACAGGCCTGCTCAGATGTCCCAGGTGGCTCCCCAGTACCCGCTGCTGCCTCATGTACAGCACACAGCACCCGCCTCATGGCTGTCTCTGCCCATGTCCATTGCCCCTTCAACGTGGAAGCTTCTCGAGGCAGGGACTGGATGTGACTCACCTGGATTTCTGGCGTTGCCCGGCACATGGGAAACTTAGGGAAATGTTTGTTGAATGAATCAAAGAATGTGTGTTCATGGAATGAAGTAAAAAAGACAGACATCAAGAGTCAGAGTTTTATTGTCAAGCTTCATAGAAATGGCTCAAATCCGCCCGATCTCCCTCAGCTTGGCCACCAGGTCCTCTGTGGTCTCCACCTTGACACCAGCCGTGCGCTGGGGCGGGTCCTCCACACTAATCACAGAGATCTTGGAGGTCAGGTCCACGCCCAGGTCCCCAGCCTTGAGCACCTCGATCTTCTTCTTCTTGGCTTTCTGCATACAAGAAGCCACAGTTCACAAAGCTGCCAAATCCCCTGCTGACATTCCTGCAGCGCCCATGGGTGCCACATCTGCTGGACGACTCCCATTGGCTAAACCCTTCTAGACCTACCCACTGGCTAGGACACACAAGCCCTCTTACTGGGCCACACCTGATGTGGACAATTCCTGTTGGCTGGGATGTCCTGGGAAGCCCTTCTACTGCAGAAGTCCTCCTCTAGTCAACAGCCTTGGTGAGCCCTCCACTGGCTGGAATAAATCGGCCAAGTCATCCTCTGGCAGTAAAACTCTTTGGACTTTTGGCTAAACTGACCCATGAAATTCACCCTTTTGGCCCTGGCTGGTGTGGCTCAGTGGACTGAGTGCCAGCCTGCGAACCAAAGGGTCGCCAGTTCAATTCCCAAGGTCGGGCACATGCCTAGATTGCAGGCCAAGTCCCCAGCAGGGGGCGTGCGAAATGCAACCACACGCTGACGTTTCTTTCCCTCTCTTCCCCTCTCTAAAAATAAATAAATAAAATCTTAAAAAAAAAAAAAGAAAAACAAATTCACCTTACTGGCTGAGATGCCTCAATGAGCCCATCTTATTGGCTGAGATGACCCACTGAACTCTCCCCACTGCTGAGATGACCAATAAATCCTCTTCATTTAGCTAGGATTACAGAATGAACTGTTCCTATTGGCTGTAATGACAAGGGGAGCTTTTTTTACTGTCTGAGGAAGCCCTTCTATTGGTTGAGGTAAACAGCAAACCCTGTTAGCCAAAAGAGCCCCCCCTGAGCTCTTGTTATTGGCACGAACGACCCTGAACACTCTCTGTTACCCAGGATGACCAGGGCTCCCTCCCTTTGGATGAGATGTCCCTCAGACCCTGTCTCTCCCATCTGACCACCGGGGAGGCACGGCGCCTGCAGCCCTCGCCCGTTCCCAGGCCTCCAGTGACTTGTCTGCCAGGCGCTCACCATGATGTTAGGCAACGTGGCATATCGGGGCTCATTGAGCCGCAGGTCGGCGGTCACCACGGCAGGCAGCTTCAGGCGCAGAGTCTCCAGGCCCCCGTCAATCTCCCGCTCCACTTTCAACTTGTCCCCTTCCAGCGTCAACTGGGAGGCAAAGGTACCCTGGGGAAGGACAGCGTGGGGGGAGTAGGCAGATTAATTTGGGGCGGGCCCGGAGCAGTCCTCCATCCGCCACTGTGCCGAGTGCAGGCATGGAGGCGCGACAAATAATAGAAGAGGGAGGACCCTTCAAGGTGACTTCTAGACATCAAGTTCAGACACGGGGGGAAGCCACAGAAAGGGATCTCAGAAACCCCGGGGAGGGCGTCTTTATTTTCATCAGACGCCAAGTGTGTGTCCTAACGTTCGAACCTGCCAGCGGGTCTCCCTTCCCTAACAATAAGGAGCACCTATCGGGTGTCATCCTAAGCAATTTAAATGAACTAAGTCCTCAGATCCGCACAGGAACTCTAGGGGGAAACGTTTTCAGCCCCACGTTACAGATGAAGAAAACAGATGAAGAGCCAGAGAGGGGCTCACGACATTTCTACTGTCACCCACTGCTGGCAAATCCAAAAGCCACCAGTGTGGTTCTAGGCCCCATGTCACGCTGTCACCTGCGCACCATGCCGTCCCCAGGAGTTCCCTTCACGACCCCTCTGCTGGGACAACAACAGCCCGTGTGCTCACCTCCATCCTCCAAACATCCTCTGGGGCCCATCTTCCAGGGTCCGTGCCCTTCCTCTGGCCAAGGCCCCTCCGCCCGTCGGCCCCGATCCATCATTTCCGGGCCTACACACTCGTTCTAACCAACCTGTCCCCTCCACTCACGGAGCCTCTGGACCGATCTTTCACGTCTCAGTCGGAACGTCCCATTGTTCTCGTGGGTCTCTTTCGAGTGCCCATGAGCCCAGTTCTGGGGATATACCGTGAACACGACCAGCCAGGCCCCGCCCAGCTTGAGTGGGCACCTGCCCTGGCCGCCCGTACCCAGGTGAACGCGGTCACCACTGGCCGCGAGCAGCCTCTGAGGGCGTGCAACGTGGCGAGCATGATCGAGCAAGGGTA